TCGGAATCAGCTTATTTTATACTTGTGTTTATAGTCTTATACGCGAGCCTATATCCGTCGTTTATACATAGTTATGTCGTGAATAAAAATTACTCGTTTATGGCTCTATATTTATCATGATCTCTGGTCAAATAATCGTCATTCGTTCCTGCTTTGAATATTAAACTATCTTTACCGAATCCAGATTCATCCACCAGTTAAAGGCTTGCTCTTTTTCTGGCAAACGTATTACCTCTCTGCAGCGAATGCATTCAGCATATTCAAGCTGAGTTGACAGAGCAAGAAACTGAGCCTGTTTGTTTCAAAATTCCTACTGTTATCGCCTGAAGAAGTCCGGAGTGTAAAACAACTGAAACGTCGTGAATATAACAATACCGATGAGGACAACAGTCAGAAAGATGTAAATAATTAAAATAAATTGCCTCAGAAATCTAGACAGATGTTGAAGTTAAATTATATATGACAGACATGACGACGTAGAAATAAATTTGTACAGTTATAAAAACTTTCAGTTTATTTATATTTTTTTCACCTTGTTGTTCTCTAAATGGTTTATCTATTGCAGGTCAGTATTGTCTCATTATATCATTAGATTCAATGATTATTATTGCAATATACCGTGTATAAAATTCTTTCCAGCATAGAAATTTTACGCTAAGTGGAATGGAAACGTATATTGGTGTTTTAATTTACATACAACCTTAATTTTGATGATGTTGCAAGCGCATGCGTATTGAATTTTTTTTCTCCATTTGTGAAGTTTTGGATTAAATCGCTCTTTATTGTCTAAATTTACCAGATTGACATATACAAATTAAGCTTTTCTCGTCTCTGGGATGAAGCATATTTTTATTTTAATCACAACCATTATGGATTTGACATTATTCGATCTTTTTGTTAAGGTCAAAATCTTGACATAACTTCGTACGAGTCTCGACTTCACATCATATCTTCTCATTTACCAAAACCTGGAGCAACTCCTGCACATAACCATCATCACGTCACAAATAACAAAAAATACAACCATTATTATTAATAAAATATTAGTATAAAAATACTGTAGAGCACACACTGAAAAAAAAAACACTCAATACTTTAGAGCACTCACTGTAAAGAATCACTCAAAATACTCGAAGATTCTATTATTAAAAAAAAAACAACAAAAAAAATAAACAAACAAAACAAACAAAAAGTAAGAAATCCAATAGTATTAGTTAAAATATATATCATCAAAGGAGACTCCATTTTCCTTTTTTTATTATTATTAATTATTCAAAATCCGTCCGAAATAAATATAATATATGCAAAATAAGTAATATATTCGTTTTCGGTACGTTGCTACACATATATTATACGGATGTATAAATTTGAAATGTAATCTTCCGAACAAATTTTGAAACAAAAATTACAATTGTTTACAATCCTGATAAAATGCAGTTGATACTGACACCAAACAGATTGACAGGACATTAAAAAAAAAAAAAACAATTTTGGATAATTTATCCACACTCTGAGATTCGATGTATTTAATAACGAATTTACTTGAAACTTTTTGTAAACCTACTAGAAAATTAAAACGGATATCTTCGTTTGAATTTCATAAAACTTTTTCACTTTCATCCCTCAAGGATTTCTAATAAATGTATACCAAAATATTTACAAGGAAAATGAATTCTGAACCAATGGTTAATAAGATAGTTTTGCAGTACAGTAGATAAAACTCTAAATACTTTCATATTGCGTGATTCATTGCTGTGGTAATATGTTGGAAAAAAAATTTAACCCATTTAATATTAACCAACAGTTGTTGCAGGATACTGAATTCCGTAGGTGGTTTGATCTGCATTTGTTGCTACAATATGCTATCCTTTTCTCCAGTTTATTTTTTATTTAGTAAATCCTTAATACATTCACTTGCTGTAGAATGTTATTTTAAAGTGATTCATGAATACAAGAATTACCAAAGACATATTCCCTATATCTTCTATTATATTCTATTCCGAAGAAATAATTTCATTTACTAAATAATTATAAATAACATATATATATATATATATATATATATATATATATATTGATAACTTAGTATTTCTAAGTTTGAAATTAGTTATTTATTCAAAATTCTCCAATCCTAAAGAGGGTAAATGTATGGATAGAAAATTGCTGAAGAAGAAAACAAAATTTTTTAAAGAATAAGGAATTTACATCGTCTTAGGTAAATTAAATATTGTTAATGTATAACAATCAAGAAAAATGAAAGTGAAGTGATTAGAAACGAAGACAAAAGCAGCAAGTTTCGGTTAAGAACCCTGCCTGATTATCAGTGAATTTGCAAATGATATATATTTTCCATAATTAACCAATTTAATTTAAATGTACAGTAAAACGGCATGAAGAAAAATGGTCATGGCAAGCGTGATAAAAGTATACGTAACCAAATGAGAATACATAAACAAGCGGTGATGTGTATTTCCTCAGGAAATACAAAACCAATGTAAAGTGGGTTATTTCAAAATGCGTTACAACCTATATTGTTGATATTTGATTGATTTAAAATCAAGGATTATTGCCAAAATTTCTTTATGCGTTCTACATCCAAATAAAAAGAAGGATATTAGTGAGCGTGAGAGAGAGAAAGAGAAAGAGAGAGAGAGAGAGAGAGAGAGAGAGAGTGATGCGTGTATTTTAACTACAACTGCTACGACAGGGATTACTTCTTTTATTAAGCAGTCTACAACACAACAACAAAATTGCGTGTTTGCGGATTGCATTCAATATCGTTCAAATCCTTTTATTATCTGAAATTTCAGTAATTTGCTTTGACAACTTCAGGTAATTTCAGCCAAAAAAAAACATTGTCGAAAATATGAGGTAATGAGATGAAGTAACGCCTGACAATAAAAATGGCTAACATCCTATTAATTTTACGAAAGCAGAACTTGTAATTTTGACATCAACAACAATGGCTTTCAAGATGAATTCATATGCTGTTCACAAATTATTTGTTGGAATGAACTAAAATTGGCAGAGAACTGCTCCATGAAATTATTTCATCATTGATTGGTCAGAATATAGCAGGAATAAGCTAATTCCAGCGCAACTTCGATACCTAACGAATGCTTTTAAAAGGAAAAGGATAAATATAACCTCAACATTCAAACTGGAATAGCCAGATTTCTCCAAACCCCAAGAAAATGTCATGTAGACCACAGCAAGCGGTACTTTATAAAAAGAATTACATAAAAATGTTTAAATGGATTGCGAAAATGTGTTACTTTTAATGAGCGATATATTGAATCTTAGAGAAGGCCGTCTTGTGATATATTGGAGAGAGCCCTTACATATTCTCGTGACCCAATCAATGAGAATCACCTACAGTCAGAAAAGGAACATGATTCTTCACCCCATTGTTCAAGAAACTTAGAACTTTTCTCAAGTTTAAATAAACTTGAGAAAATTTCCAAAAGTTTCGATGTTTGGTGAATGAAATGTGGGATTATCTGCTAATGAATTTCTGCTGCTAACCGCCATGAAAACAATATATGTGAAACGGACGGAAAGAACTTCTACTTTTCATTCATGCACTTTAAAAATACAGAAGGAATAAAACATATTTGCTTCCCTCACCCCGTGAGGACTTTATAATCCCTAGTTAACTTGGAATCGCACTGAACACAAAACAGATGTATGCACAGTACACACAGCTTTATGCTTACTCGACTATATGCTTGCAATTCAAATCATCCTACAACGCCAACGAAGAAATATTTTCTAATGTATGTCAATAGAAAGAAATCACTCCTATAGAAACTTTCATAAACGTACGTGCAAGAAATAGCATCTCTATATAAACACGTCTACCCCGTTTTATATTGTTTCCTTTCAGTTTGACCATTGAATAAAATATGTTGTTTTAATAAAACATAATTGTTTATATATTCATTCTCTAAATAAAGTTCCTAGAAATTATAATGCGTCCACTGTTTTATACACCAATGTACCATTATCATATCTATAAATCTATCAATAACATTCTAACAATAGTAATTTGGGAAATTGTGTCTTTCGGAGAGTTTTTCAACGTCTTAAACTGCTTACGTGTAGTTACTGTGTATTATAATGCATTTAGACGGAAAAATAATGTATATTTTTAATCATTAAGGAAGAAGCAGTAATTCATAATTACCACTTTGTAATGAGCAGTGAAATTGACATTTAGCAAAACTAAAATTATTTTTGTATTGTAAGAAAAATAAATTAAGAATAACATTTTTATTTGCAATTTCTTTTGATCATTATCATTTTTACTCAGTGGATATTTTCGTCAGTATCTGTCTATATTACTGAGATGAGGTATTATTATACACTATTTACATTATTCGGACTATTGTCCTAATCTTTGTCGCCATTTTTATTACAACGCTTCGGTCATTGTACGCCCCGGCCTTCTTCAGGTCGTTGGAATGTTGAACTAAGACTTTATTTCATTCACTGTGGTAGACTGTTCTAGTTGCAAGTGCCATGTTTAATGGATGTCAGTTATCAGTTATCTTCTGTAAATTTTCCTCTGAAAGTTTGAAAACTGCCTTATCCGGGTATTGAACTCACACTCTTTGGCACAGTGGATAAAGGCGTTAGTTAGATCCAGTGACAGGACCCAAAGAGTGTGAGTTCAATACCCGGTTAAGTCAGTGGAGAACTTGGAGGGGGATTAACAGGAGATAATTGACAACTGACTTCCATTAAACATGGCATGTGGAACTAGAACAGTCTACCCCAGTGAGCGAAATAAAGGGGTCATCTCGACATTCCAACCACATGAAGAAGGCTGGAGCGTACAACGGCCAAAAAGTTGAAATAAAAATGGCGACAGACATGAGGACAATAGTCGGAATATTGTAAATAGTGGATATTTTCTTTCCGTTTACTGATATCCAAACTACTGAATATAATTGAAATACGAAGTTTATGAATATAGCAGTGAAAATCACATATTTGAAATGGGCTTTTTCTTCTTTACATCCCTCGATTTACTTTTTTATTTCTTTTGTTTACGAATTTATAAAATGGTTTTCTCTTCTTTTCGGTTACACTAAATGTTTTGCTGGTGGACATAATGGCAACGTATTTATGAGAAATTCTTCTTAAAAGATGTGAAATTCTTCTTAAAATTTGTTTGCAAAAAGAGTTGCACCTCGTTTGAAACCACTCAAAGCATGCATTTGCTTTCATAATATTTTCAATCTTTTCAGTCTAATATGACCTCGAGCATCTTCTTGCAACATAAAGTGAAACAGCTACTCAGTGAGCTTCTAACTGACGACGCCAGTGAACCTTTGCTTAACAATGAACTTTGAAATTATTACATAAGATAGACTAAAGAAAACTATCAACAGGCATCAGCCTTCATTTTCCTTCTTAAAAACCGAGTTTACGTGAAAAGGATGCGTCATATATTCTGATATCAAAATAGATAAAAACGGATAGTGGAATGACCAACACAAAGATTATACAAAACGGGGATTGGACAAATTCTTAGAGAGGAGACAAGAGTAAAAGTTTATGAAATTACTGTGCTAAACCTATTCGGATACTGTACAAATCTTTTAGTCAGCGACCAGCATCAAAAACAGCTACTTGAATATTTCTACCAGCACTATGTTTTTAATTTTTTTTTTTTTAGATATTTACTTTGTGCATTCGAGTGAATTCTTTATTAACATCGTATATCGCAAAGTTGCAAACGTGTTAAACATAGCAGTCGTGTATGAAAGATTATCCACAACTAATGATTTTAATATTTACTAAACTATAGATGGACCATTGAAATAGAAGATCGCCATGGATGAGATAGAAAGATTCCCTGAAAAGAATTTCATTTCTAGTTGTGCTGACAACCATCAATGGGTAATGCGAGCGAATGGCATGTATATATAGCAATACCTTTCAACGTTAACTTCTTTCTTTTGGAAAGATTTTTCAGAACTATTACAGAGATTAAGAAACAGGATTGTAATTCTAAAAAAAAAATTACCGAAAACTCATTTTTATCAAGTATAAGAACTAGGCCTATTTGCAAAATGTGTAATTTAAGAGATACTAAAATTAAAAGATGAAGCAAAATAATTATGCTAGGCCACAAAAAACTCCTGAGCTGACCAAGCATAGAAATAAATACAATATGGGAACCAGTAATAAGGAGTGCCTGAAAAAAGCAATAATAACAGCAAAAGTTGCAATATGAGCTCTAGTAAAATATGAAATGATAACAGCAAAAATTGCAATATGAGCACTGGTAAATATGGTTGCTGAGACATTAGGTTTATAATACCCAGAAATTCATACCCAGATGTCCTCAAGGACACATGGCACTGTGAATTAGATTCGTTAGATCCAATAACAGGACTCAAAGAGTGTGAGTTCAATACCCGGTTAACATTCAGATGGAAAATTAACAGGAGATAACTGATAACTGATAACTGACACCCATTAAAAACATGACACTTGGAACTAGAACACTCTACCCCAGTGAGCTAAATAAAGGGTTCAGTTCGACATTCCAACCACCTGAAGAAAGCCGGAGCGTACAGCGGCCGAAACGTTGTTATAAATATGGCGACAAAGATGAGGAGAATAGTCCAAATAATGTAAATAATGTATATAATACGTCATCTCAGAAATATAGAGAGATACCAAAATAATTATATCTGTCTATACTTGAGATGAGGTATTATGTATACTATTTACATTATTCAGACTATTGTCCTTATCTTTGTTACTATATTTATCACAACCTTTCGGCTGAAGAAGAAGGCCGGGGCGTACAACAGCCAAGACGTTTTGATAAATATGGCAAAAAAAGATGAAGACAATAGTCCGAATACTGTAAATAGTGAAAATAAATATAATTCAAATATGACTAAATTAATTCAATTACAGAATACATCATCTTGATAATGAATTTGTAAGTGTGCTTCAATTGTCTTGGGATATTGCAATATTATTTCTCTATAGTAGAAAGAAAGTGGAAGAAATTGCAAGAAAAAAAAAAAAATACAATTCTGGATCTGATTTTGAAGTCAAGCCAAACAATAAAATCTGAACATCTGTTCCCGTGGTTAAAAGATTAATAAGCAAATCCGTTCCAAACTTAAACTTCTTTGCGCAGCTCAGAAATTTCCTAAGGTACCAACACGAGGTTGATTAGAGATTCTTTCTCTTAGTTCTCAAACTTTCCCCTGCAACCGCTATGACAATACATGTTTAACTTTCGTTATCCATCAGCGGTCTTGTGCCCAAACTGAAACGCCTCTTGAGATCTTCATCCGCGAAGTCAAATTGCCTCCCCCCCCCACACCGCCAAAAAAATGATGTTCGTCTCGTGACCTTTTGGAATACGGCAAATGTGAGGTTGGTATGAGAGATAATTTCTTGCTTTGTCCAACCTCATGTCCATTCATGTGACTATCCGGCCGAATATTTTTGGTCATTCGGGAATGTAAGCCTGTTACTCGCTTCAACAAACACAGCGGGTCCGATTTAATCCATCTGCACTGGACACACCCCCATTCTAACGCATACTGACTACCTGCCTCCTTTTTCTCCCTAGCTTCCAAGAAAAGAGATCGTGGTTATATGCGGACTGGGAAGGCATGTCTTATTTATTTTTCGGCTTAGTTTCTGTTTGTTTTTATTAAATTTAGCGTTGCTATCAGAAATCTCCACTTCCTCTTACTGGCTTCTGTGTCCATATCTATCAATCTACCAAGCAAGCGACAATTAAAACATTGTTTGAAGAATATAAGTTAGATTTTATATATAATTCTAACAGTAATTTGATTCGCGTTACCAAGTTTCAGTTTTTTTCTTTGTTTTTTGTTTTAATTTTCTTAGTATTCTTTATTTATTTTTTCTTTGTATTTTTGTTTTGATGTCCTTTTTAACGCTTCTTAATATTTTTTTTATTTCCGTCATCATTGCTTCTTACTCCATCCAGTTTCTTCTTTCTTTCTTTCTTTCTTTCTTTCTTTCTTTCTTTCTTTCTTTCTTTTCCTTTATATGTTTTGTTTTTTGTTTTCTTTCATCGTATTTTTACAATATCTTCTTTTTATTTATGTCTTCATTGCCTTTTCCTCTTTCTTTCATCCTGTCTAAACATTCCGAAACAGTATTCGATTTATTCATCCATCTTGTTCGTTTTTTTTTTCTTCGATTTTGTTATATTTTCCTACTTCTTCTTTGTCTTTTCTTTGCCTTTCCCTGTTTTTTTTTTTCTTTGGGTTTTCTTTCTATCTTTCTTCGACATTTATCCTATTTCTTTCTTTCTTTGTTTATTTAATTACCTTTTCTTTCTTTTTTTAAATTACCTTTTTTCCTGTTTTCTTTTCTTCGTTTCGTTGTCCGGTTTCCTTATTTTCTTTTTCTCTTCATTAACTTTTCTACATTTTGTTTCTTTCCCTTTTTCATCTACATTTCTGTTTTTCGTTCTCCCCTTTCCTTTCATAAGTTGAACTAGGTTCACATATCCTCTCCTTTTATTTATTTATGTATTTCGGTGTTACCTTCAGTAGTTTCTTTGTTCTTTCATTTATTACCACATTCCTTTCCTTCTATTCCAACTACTCTTTTCATTCTCCAATCTCTTTACATCACACGCCTCGTTTAGCACAATACATTGACAATCCAGGAAGAAATAGGAAAAAATAACAACACACATCTGAGACGTGTCAAAATGAAAAAAAATAAAACGAAAAACGACAAGAAGTAAACATAGAAAACAAGTAATAATAATAATACACCTCATCGACAAAACTATAGTTTGAAATGATTCTATCATAGGGGACTTTGGAAAAGAAATTGCAAGAATGTGGCATGTAAACATCAACATTATCCCAATAATAATATGAGCACTAGGAATGATTAAAAAGAATGGTGATATACGTAAAGAAGATACGAGGAAGCACATAACTATCTGTGATTGTAAAAAAAAAGGTTTTGCCCTTCATCAACGCTCTCATTCGCAGGGAAATTACTATCTTAATAGAAAATGCTCATCAAGTTTCTCAGAAAAAAAAACCTTCCTTTGCCATAATTCTCTGGTAAAAGACTTCATAACGAATTGGATCAAACAGCAAATCATAAAAATTAGAAAGAATAATAATAACCCTACAATGCACACAGACAGAACATCCAAACCTATTCGCACTGATTAGAGACCGCAAAGACAAAATGTGTCTCCTTATTGACATGGCAGTCTCTGCAGACTGCCATGAATCTTTGAAGATCTTCAAAAACTATCAAAATAGAATGACTTTGAAATCGAAATCTAAAAAATGTGGCGCATGAGGACATTAACAATTCCAGTTGTAGTTGGAGCCCTCGGATTGATGGGAAAAGATTCCAATAGACTCATTGAAGGAATCCTTGGTAGCCTATGACTTAAAGAAATACATACATTTGTACTTACAATTACAGCCCACACCTTACGAAGAGCTTTATCAATGTAAAATAAGTGCGATTAATTTTCAAAACAGCTTAGTGGAAAATGTCATGATGAAATTTCTAACCTTAGGTCTCTGGTCGGGTCCCGGAATAAAATGAGTAAACACCAGAAACCAAAGGAAATAATGCAACAACTACAACAACAACAGCATCAATAATAATAATAATAATAATAATAATAATAATAATAAGAAGAAGAAGAAGAAGAAGAAGAAGAAGAAGAAGAATTGTAATGTGTCTTTGAAGATCTTCAAAATCTATCTAAATATAAGAAACTTGAAATAGAAATTTCCCAAATGTGGCACATGAAGATATCAATAATTCCAGTTGTAGTTGGAGTACTCGGATTGATTGGAAAATGTTCCGATAAACTACTTGAAGGGAGTCATGGTAGCCCATGCCTTAAAGAAATACAAATACTTTTATTCACAAGTACATATCCAAGATTCCAAATAGCTTTATGTATGTAAATATGTGTGTGATCTTAGTGTTTTTGTTTTGTTATTTTTTTCTACAAAAATGATCTCGTTAGGTCCCCAACAGACATAAAAGAAAATGGAAATAATAATAATAATAATAATAATAATAATAATAATAATAATAATAATTAATTTGCCCAGGAGATCGCCGTACTAGGAACATACTATATACTAAGAAAAGTGCTATTAATTAAATAACAATTCTCCTATCGGAGCTTAAGGACCATCTTTTGTACCCGGATCTACAGCAGGAGACAAAAGATACACAAATAATAATAATAATAATATTAATAGCAATATTAAAAATAATAATAATAACAACGTCAGGAGATTAGGGCAATAAAATAGAAATCGAGTTGTAAGAAATATAACCTGTTTAAACAAGGACAATAAACATGGCAAAGTAAGAAAAACTAAGATAAAAAACAGGCAACATTTTACCAAATGCAAGAGTGGATATAAATACATTATTATTATTATTATTATTATTATTATTATTATTATTAATAATAATAATAATTATAATAATGATGCTGATAATGATGGTGAAAATTTGTAGATTCTATAATGATTTGAAAATTTCATAAGTTAAATGTTTCTGGAGAATTGAAACTATTCACAGAACAACATTACCAATATTCTGTCGATATAAAATTCGAGTGCAGGAGGATTAAATGCATTTGCGATCAGTTGATCTCAGTTAATAACCTTGTATTACTAAATGAATATTACTAAATTACTATTGATACTAATGAAAAAAAAAACGACATGCTAGTGTTCTGTAAATTAGTTTTAAATATCCTACCATGAGAATTATCGTGTATTATTTGTTCAGATATAAATTATTACAGGATCCCTGTCCCGAGGTTTACCAGCAAAGAGAAATTAGCAAAAAATAAGCGATCTCTTAAAATTAAACTAAGGCTGATACTCCTCTTAAATGTTATTAAACTTTACTGTTGTGTAAAGTGTCACTACCTCAACAGGCGAGGCCTAAAGATCAATGAAGTTGTTGCTTAGATTTCTATTGCAAATAAGATTTTACTGTGTATAGTTGCTAGTCTAACACTCAACCAGTTTTGAATTTGAAATTATATTTGCTACTAGACTGGTTGCCAGTCAAAGCTATGTAATCCATAGTTGCGGACAGAAAAGAAAGATTCATAGCTTCACAAGGGTCTTTTTTTTGTATGAAAGTAAACTGAAGAAAATCGATATACCGATTCCGTTTTAATCGACATGTTACGTCCATTAAAACTTTAATCTGATCAGTTGATCTGAAAAATAATGGCCTCTCAAAACCGAAAGGACCAGTAGAAGGGCTTATAAAATATCCGTATGGCAATATCATTTCCACTTTTTACAGTTTCGTTTTTCACTAATGGACTAACGGTTGATAGATTTACACTGACCGGATCAGTGACATTTTAAGAGTGGATGTTAATTGCCTGGATCCTTGGAAGTAAATGAACTCGGAAGAAAGAGGAAGTTAACGCGTTCAGATGAAAGAGATAGTGTTGAGTGAGACACCGTGTTATTTACACTGTGTATCTGAAAGTTAAAATGTACTAAGGGTATTTCCTTGGTTAAACGCCGTCAATCAAATAAGTGCCACGGTCGAATAAGTAACCACATGAAGAAGCAATTTTTGAATCACATATCTTTTCTTTTAATCCTTATATCTCAAGACTTCATTTTACAAAATTGATTTTATTTTATATAATACATCGCAGGTTCTTTGGATTTTTTAACTTCAGGGAATATTCTCGTCATCACTTTCTGACCATAATCAAGCTGTATTCAAACCTGTGTATATATATTAATTTGTGCTTATAAGTTATTCATCGTATGAAAGTGGTTGGAAAATGTATATATATATATATATTACTTTATGTTTCTTCATGTACTTCTATGATGGGATTTTTCTTCAAAGCTCGGTCTGTATTTGAGTGTGTCTGCAAATTTGTAAATATTTACGAAATGAAAGATTTATTTCTTGGTTGCGTAAATTCGAAAGTTGCATGAAATATCTGTCGTGACACTGGAAAATCTTAATATAGGTGGTCCTCGACTAAGAGCGGGGGATCCGTTCCTATAGAGCGACGTAACTTGATTTTCGACGTAAGTCGGAAATCACAACATAAGCACCCGCAAAATCTGCGCTAGGATTGGGGGCCATAATTAATGGCAAAATGATCCCAAGAACGACACAAATGAGAGATAGCGAATTTAACAAAATCCAATATGGCGTACAGTCGGTGAAGAAACAACGCTGTTTTTCTTCCATAGCGCCGCTTGACGACGTATTACATTATAGTAGATGGTGCTGTAACAATAAAAGAACGTATGTTGGATCCGGCGTAACCCAAGGACCTTCTGAAATTTAACAGATACTAAGATTGTTGAATCATTTCCCATATTCCTTGTGTGTGTGTGTGTGTGTGTGTGTGTGTGTGTGTGTGTAGCAGACTAGTTGTTGAAACTATCACAAGTGAGATTAGTTTGACAAAGTGTTTGCCCTACACAACAATGACTTCTCCCATTTTTAGCAATGGCAAACTCATGCACACGACCTCTATTTTTAATTATATACTAAATCGTGCATGATTTACCAGGTGTTAGGGTGTTTGATTTTAAAGGTGAGAAACTATATAAAGTATTTTTTTATAGAATATATAAAATATTTTTCAGTTTTTGATTATTACATGTCGTGTTTTTCTTACTATTAAGGATTTCTTGTTTATTTTTTAATTTGTTAATGCGATTGATAAAGCTACTATCAGATAAATGGGACATTAACAAATGCGATAATGTATTAAATGTGTGACCAATATATAATTCTTCGTCATGTTCTTAAATAGCCTCGTCAGATCGAAGCTTTCATAAAGATGTCATGCATGACATCAGTCTCGTTCAGAAATATCGAAACAACCGCTTTCTCAGATCAATGAATAAAAATGGTAAGTGAATCATGTAGGTCTTAACGAAACGTATGAACTGGGGTTGCAGAATCAAAAGACCTTTTTTGTTACTCATGTTCCCCGAATATAAGACCTAAGAGACAGTCAAAGTAGAGGGTTACTATATGGTTTTTGTTAGCGTAAGAAAGGGCAAGAAGTGAAGATATTGGGCCTATGCAAGAAAGATAACAGCTAACTCTAGACTTGAAGAGGTCAAGATTTAATTAGTGAATGACATTTCAGAGTTCAGTTGTTCCGTTCTTATTTTAAGGTGGAATATTTTAAAAAGACAAAGCCTTACAACAAGCACAACAATATTTAAAACCTCTGCCAACAGGAAAAATTAGCGATTATGACATTTCTAGAATGGAAGAACCTTTTAAACCAGAAATCCGTACTTAAGTCCTTGCTTACATATTAGAAAAGTTTTCTTAAACTCAAATGAGGCTAGATAAAAAAGATAAAAAGTAATTACCCCCAACAATACATTTAGAATAAACTCGCGCTTCTTCTTATCCTCTTCCTTTTTTTTCCATTACACACAAAGTCGTGCGTTTATTTATTTATTTT